CAGACAAACTGGAAATAGTTACAATACAACCACAGCCAACAATAATTCTACAACCTTGTACAATACAGCTATGTCCAGCGATAATCTTACAACAGCATACAATGCAGCTACAGTCAGAAACAATTATACAACAGTAAACAGCGCAACAATAACTGATGACAATTACACAACATACAATACAACTATAGCTACCGACAATTATCCAACAGTATACACTCAAACTACATCAAGCAAAAATGACAGTACAGTGTATAATGCAAATATAGCTGGTAGCAATTACACAACAATGTACAGTGAAACCACAGCTGGTAACAGTTACATAGAAACTAGCGATATTTACAAAAGAACTACAGCCAGCGACAATTATACAACAGTGTTCAGTGCACATACAAGTGTCAAAAATGTAACAACAGGTTACAGTACAACTACAGCAAACAACAATTACACAACAGTGAGCCCATTTCTAACAACTCTGAACAGTACAACAGTGTACAATTCAGTTACTTCTGACAATAATGACAGACAAACTGGAAATAGTTACAATACAACTACAGCCAACAACAATTCTACAACACTGTACAATACAGCTATGTCCAGCAATAATTTTACAACAGCATACAATGCAACTACAGCCAAAAACAGTTATACAACAGTCAACAGTGCAACAACAACTGTTGACACTTACACAACATACAATACAACTATAGCTGCCGACAGTCATCCAACAGCATACACTCAAACTACATCAAGCAAAAATGACAATACAGTGTCTAATGCAACTATAGCTGGTAGAAATTACACAACAGTGTACAGTGAAACCACAGCTGGTAACAGTTTCATAGAAACTAGCAATATTTACAATACAACAACAGCCAGCAACAATTACACAACAGTGAGCCCATTTTTAACAACTCCGAACAGTACAACAGTGTACAATTCAATTACATCTGGCAACAATGACAGAGAAACTGACAACAATTACAACACAACTACAACCAATATTTCTTCTACAACAGTGTATAATACAGCTGTGTCCAACAACAATTATACAACAGCGTACAATGCAACTACGGTCAGAAACAATGACAGACAACCTGGCAACAGCTACAACGCAACCACAGCCAACAATAATTCTACAACAGTTTACAGTGCAACTACAGAGAGAAACAATTATACAACAGTTGATGGCACAACCACAGCTGGTAACAATTACATAATCCCACAAAATACAACTTCAGGTAGCAATAATTATACAACTACAGGTGGGCACAGTTACACAAAGGTTTACGATGCAACCACAGTGAACAACAATGACACAGTAGTTCATAATGCCACTACATCTGGGACCAATTTGAAAGAAAATACAACTAACCAAAATTACACAACACTTAATTATGCAACTACACCTGGCAGTAATTCCACATTAGTGTCCAGCAACTTTAGTACAGCTACAACTATGAATAGTTCCACAGCAACTACACCTGGTAATAATTATACAGCAATGTATAATGCATCCACAGGTGACATCAATTACACAGTAGTGCATAATGCAATTACATCTGGCAACAATTTTAATGTAACTGCAACTAACAACAACTACACAATAGTTTATAATGCAACTGGATCTGGTAGTAATTACACCCTCGTGTATGCTGCAACTACAGCTGACAACAATTACACAGCAATGTACAATGTAACAACAGCTGGCACAACTTTACACAATGGTGTGGTGACAACCAGTAAAACAACAGTTAGTACAACAACAATATATCCCAACTACACAATGATAAAGAGCACAACTACAGCCTCTAACAATTACACAACACCAGTGATCATTACTCCGACTATTCTATCTCAAAATAAAACAACTGCAATTATTGGAACCACAGAGAAAAGCAGAACTGCTGCAGTGTCTCACAGTACTAAACCTACTTCAGCTCCACTGAAGAACCAGACTGCAAATTTCACCACAGTGAGTTTGACTCATGTCACAACAATAAGCAAAAACGAAACCATGTCCACCACAGCTGCCAGCACCGTCCAAACAGATGACAGACCAGACGCCGGTTTAACAACAACAACGACAACAACAACAGAAAATGCATCTGTTGTTATTATCTCACCCGCAACCACTGCAACTACTATAACAGGTCATGGTCCACAAGATTTAAATGGCACAACTGCTGAGGTTTCTTTGACTACAACACCGCTCACCAAAACTACTACAACCACCATAGTGGCTGGTATGTAGATACTGCAGTTTAACCTTTTTAAAAAGTTATTACTATCGAGTTTTAAGCTACAGAACAAAAAAATAGATCTACTGATTTGATGATTTGCTCCTGTAGAGAACACAGGAACTTCCACAACTGATGTACAAACAACTGATGAAGCAGTCTACCTGTTGAATCAAACACAGGATGTATCTCTGCTCAACGCCTCTCAAGTAAATGTCACTCTGCTGCTCTGTTGTGCAACTAACATTTAAATGGATAACGACTGTGTTTGTTTATTTTAATGTCTCATTTGGGAATTTTAAGGTGTCAGTGTTGGTTGAGACACTGGAGAAGCATCTGGACAATCCCTCTGTTTCACGATCAGTGATAATCAAAGTTGTCAGTAACTTGATGGACAGTAACCCTGAGGCACTCTCTAAATCTGCAAACAGGTTCAACACACACGTCTGTCTTAAAACAAACAAAGAAAATAACATATGCACATGCAAATGTGATTTTTCCCCTGATGTTTGTGTTGTATTTCTTGGCGACAGGCTGATTCACTTGGTGGATAATCTGGGTGTTAAACTGGCTGTCACTGGTGGCGATGGAATTCTGTCAACCAGTTCCTTAGTTGTTGCTGTGAAAAGAGTGAATGGGAGCAACTTCACAACAATCCTTTTTGATGTTTTTAACACTGATCATGTCCAGGTAGTCATCTGCTCATCAAGAGACATTGGTCCTCACATGAGAGCCTTTTTTTTAAATAAACGTATCAATCTTAGTATCTAAGACACGTAAGGGCTCAACCACACCTAAACCTAAACCAAACCTACCACTTATTTATTTATTTATTGCGTGTTTTCAGTTCAGTGGCCCAAAAAGGACCATGAAAAGCTCAGAGCCTGCTTTGGCGTCTGTATACTTGCCTGCCTCCCTCACATCTGGTATCAGCCCTGAAGAGCAGAAGCAGGCCAACAGCGTCCAGTTTACTTTCTATGCAAAAAATTCATTCTTTAAGGTGCTTTCTCTCTGTCATATCAGAATGTATTCATTTATTTTCTGTTTTGATTTATCTAATTGATTATGACCTATATGAAAGGGGTTAAATTTAAAGCGAATCTTATTCTCCTGTAACTGACCTCTGTATATTTCTTCATTTTTGCAGGATGCATCATTAGATAACAAAACTCTTGTCAGCACAGTTCTAGGCTCAAGTGTGGCTAATCTGTCAATTAGCAACCTGAGTGAAAACATTGAGTTCGCCATCCGAAACAGCAACCCAGTTCATGTGAGTGTCATGTGCAGCACGTTAGTAGTTTTGTATTGTTCACTTATGATCATAACATTATATCACTGCAATTATAAACAATATAGGCTCACAAAAAGATAAACTGTAATAACAAATTGTTTTTGGTTTGTAGAAAAACTACACAGCCAAATGTGCATTTTGGGATTTCACGCTGAATAGTGAGTTTGCACATTTCAAACAGTGTCTGTGAAGAGCCAGAAAGCCCCAGGTGTAAATATTCCTGCCCTTGATGTTATTTTTCAGGTGGTGGAGGAGGCTGGAGCTCTGTTGGCTGCTTTGTGGTCAACAGCACCCCTGAATATACAATCTGCAGCTGCAGCCATCTTACATCCTTTGCAGTACTGCTGGTTAGTGTGAATTTGTGCACCTGTTTCTGTTTCATGTATAATTTATAACAACCAGCAACGGAAACAAATAGCCTCGGTTTGTGTTCACTGTCTGTTTGTTGTGTATGCCACTTCTCCATGCAGGATTTGTCCAGACAGGAACTTCCTGACCAGAAGAACACACAAATTCTTACTTTCATCACCTACATTGGCTGTGGAATCTCTGCTATTTTTCTTGCTATCACATTGCTGACGTATCTTTCTTTTCCGTAAGGATCTATTTTGGTGCACATCAATCATTACTGTTTAGTCTTATAAATTTCTTAACGTTCTTTATTAAACTCTGTCTTTGTAGAAAATTGCTAAGGGATATACCAGCCAAGATCTTGGTCCAACTCTGTTCATCTCTGCTCTTCCTGAACTTGGTGTTCCTGCTGGACAGCTGGCTGGGGAGCCACAACAATACAGGCCTCTGTATTTGTACTGCCTTCTTCCTGCACTACTTCCTGCTGACATCATTTACATGGGCGGGGCTTGAGGCCCTGCATATGTATCTCAGCATTGTGCGAGTTTTTACACCCTACCTGAGCCAGTACATGCTGAAGTTCACTCTGATGGGTTGGGGTAGGAATCTTCAAACTTTTACTTGATGATCAATTATTAATTTTTCATTATATCAATATTTTAAATATGTTCATAAATTTCCTTTGATTAACCTTGGGTTTTTTGCAGGTATTCCTCTTATCATTGTAATTATTGTGATATCCGTGGACAAAAACAACTATGGTTTGATTAATTATGGAAAGCACACAAATGACACTTCAGATAACTTGTGAGTTAATTTTTAATATTTTGTTTTGTATGTCAAAGCTTTAGATCCATTTTCTTTATTAAACTCACTAAGAAGCTATGGCTAAGTACTGTAGATAGAACACTTATATGGGCAAGATACTGAATTTTGATCGTGTATGTGAATAGTAAATAAGATGAATAAGGCTTGTAGTGTAAAATATTTTGAATGGTTAATAACATTTTGGAAAGTGCAATCTGTGCTTTTCCTTTTGAGAGTAAGCAGCATTCCCATAATGTTGGTTAAACATATTTCTTGAAAAAATATAATCAAGGTTTTCTATTTAAATACCATACGATTTTACACAGTGGCATTATTTAACCAGAATTAAGCCAAAATGTACAAGCACCATGTGAAAAACTAAGTATACCATTACTGCTTCCATTAGAATTAAGAGGGTAAACAGCAGCCTGGTTCTCTTAATAAAATACACTGAATTAACTAATCATCAGCAAGTGTTGGCAGTTTGCTGCTGTGGAGCATTCAGGTGTGTGTGAACACAACGCCAAGCAGAAAAGACATCAGCAGCAACCATAGAGAAGTCAGCGGTAACATATTAAATGTTGAAGTTCATTAAAGTACAATTAGAAAAAGACAGAGAAAATATAGCCTATTTGGAAGGGCTGCCAGGAGAAAACCTGTTCTCTTCAAAGGGACATGGCACCGTGGCTTATATTTGCAAAATTACAACTGAAAAAACACAATTTTAGAACAATTCCTTTTGGATAGAGGAGACCAAGGCAGACATCTTTGGACAAAATGCACAGCTCTATTTTTGGCAAAAAAACAGTTTATCAGCATAAACACTGCATACAAACTGTCAAGCACAGTGATGAAAGGCTGATGATTTAGGCTTGTTTTTAAACCATAGGACCTATGCATACTAGTATTCTAAAGGCAAATATGTGTCCATCAGTCCCACAGCTAAACCTTGATGAAAATCCCAAAGATCCCAAAAACAGTAGCAAAGGAAAGTATTAAGGTGCTGAACTGGCCCAGTGAAAGTCCAGTCCTCATCCCCACTGAAATGCTCTGGTGGGACCTTAAGACTGTAGTGCAATGTCAGGAAATCAGCCATTTCCATTTTTCAGCTCCTGAGTATGAAACTGTGCAATAACTAGTTGAACTAATGTCACCATTCCTAAACCAAAGTATTTCCCAGGAGTGGCAACTGTGGAAAAATGTCCTAACTTGATTCTCCCAACACTGATCAGAGATGATGATTTAAAAACACTATGCAACTGCCAGGATTCTCACATTCCATGAGGCTCCTTAATAGCATGGATTATTTACGCTGATGCACATATTGAAACAGGGCCATTATGAATTTTAGAGTGATTTTTCCAAGTGAGGACTCAAAATATCCCAGTGGGAAAGGTCTGTTCAACTACTGTAAATGGATTTTGCCATACACATCAACAAATTAGATGGTCCTGCCACCTTAGCAAAGAACTTAATCTTTGATTAATCACACTGCTTTAGGTAGCAATATGCCACAGCATCTAATAATTTTGAAGCAACCTAAGTGAAGAGAAAGACAACAAGTTATCACTGTTTTGAAGCTAAAATGTTCCCTTGGTCATTTCTCCTTTGTTTTCTTTCTGTAGCTGCTGGCTGAGTAATAACATAGCCTTCTATGTTGGTGTGGTCGCCTATTTCCTCCTGATCTTTATCCTGTGCCTGCTGGCCTTCATCGTTGTTATGGGACATCTTTCACGTATCAAGAAGCAGAACCCCCACAACCAGTCTCCCAAAAGAAGTGTTATGACTGATCTGCGCAGTGTCACCGGCCTCGTCATCATCCTTGGCCTTACCTGGGGGTTTGCTCTGTTTGCATGGGGACCCCTCTACTTACCCTTTGTTTACCTTTTTTCTATATTCAACTCTCTGCAAGGTGACATATGTATAAACACCTTGAATTTCAAAATAGGATTGATTTTTTTTTTTTATCATAATAACACAAATATTTAATAACACAATAATAACACTATAAAATGCATGGATGTATACTATAAGCTACTTCCTTACTGTTCCTGTGTAGGTTTCTTTGTCTTTGTTTTCCACTGCGCCATAAAGGAGAATGTCCGCAGGCAGTGGAGAACTTACCTTTGCTGTGGAAAACTGCGACTGGCTGAGAACTCAGGTGAAATTACTAAATGTTCCCGAAAAGTTCTTTAGAAGCACTTTATAGTAGTTCAGTTGGTTACAACAGAGTAAACAGTGGTTGCTTTAGAACCTTTGTCTTTAAATTTTGTTCTTAATTTCCACCAAAATAAGAACTACTAATACTTCCATGCTAGCTTCAGTTTTGTTTTTTGTTTAAACTGATGGCTAAGCTTCATTGAAAAATACTTTCAAAATACAAGGTGTCAAGATCCACAACGACTATTCAAGGTAGCTACTTCTTAAAAATTGCGTCTTTGTTAGACTTTCTAGCAAGACAAAGTTTGTGCTCAAGAGTTGTTTTCTGCTATCTCTTTATTAATCAGAGTAAAGCTAAATAAAATATTCTCAACAGAAATAAAAAAAAATCACAAGTTGTATTCTGAGGTTTATGATGCTGACACTGTCGACATAGTGACAATAGTTGAAAGAGTCTGATGGCCTTTAGATAAGCCTAAATATGAATGGCTTGATCTAACAAGAGATTTGGCAGAGATTTTAAAGAATGTGACAGGAAAATCAAAGTGAAATCTTGTTGTATTACCCTGCCTTTTCAAAAAGCAGATAGTTTGAAAGCAAACAAACATGTCAATTTTCAGCCTATTTTTGGTTAAACAGTCATGTATTCTACAGATTGGAGTCGAACATTCACACAAAACAAGAAGACTATCTCTCGCTCCAGTGCAATTACCTTGGATCCAAAGTTCACTTCTCGAAGCTCCTCTGTTGTCAGTTTTGGCACCAATAGCAGTGGTATGTGATGCGGTGGCAGATAGTCCTTTTCAAACATCGCATATTTGAATATATTCTTCATAACACATTGTTCCCATTGCCCGCAGGCTCTGTGTTCGCGGACAGCGGAATATCTGACAGCTCCAACAATGATGTCGTCCTCAACGAGATTCACAGGGGAAATCTGACACAAGGCAAAACTACCAAATGACTCTGCCTGAGCTTTCTTTTGTGATTACAGCCAATTCCAAGAAAGGATCTCTGGGAGTTTACAAGGTGCAAATTGGAGGAGTAGTTTTCCTTAATGTTACAAAAAATGAAGGTTTGATGAAGGACTAAAGAGGATCAGGAACAAAGGAGACCTTTGTCTAAATACCTTTAGAGAAGAAGAAATCAAAAAGTGGAGAATGTTTTCAATTCTACACTAATAGTATAGATAATAGAAGAGTCTTGTTAGCAGAGATAAGGTGTACTACTGAAACTAAAACATTATATTGAACTGCATTTACTTGTTAGCCGAGAACAGATACTGTCAGTATTGTATAGATAATTATCTGGCTATTTCTTTGAGGATATATTCATTTCTTGAACAGACAAATGAAGGAATTTCCAGTCTTAACTCTACATTTCAGTGCCTTTGCCAAATTCTAAGTTTATTCTGGCAGTGTCAAATGGCACTTTGGGATGTATTTAGCTACCTATAGAGACAAGGATTGATGCAAAATGTGCACATGCCAAACTCCACTGCTTGATCATATCTGATAAAAGTTGATATCTGCAAGATTAAGGGTGCAGTTCTGTGTTAAATATTGTATTATTCACTACATTATAGATTTTTTTTATTTGGTTCATACATGCTTTTTATGAAAAAGAATAAAGATTTGAAATATTTTCATGTGGCGAACTGAAGCACAATCAAAATATGGGATTTATGTCCTGTGCTTTTTAACAAGGACACATTTTGCTAAATGTCCTTGGAAGGCCATTTGCATGCCATGAAAGATGAAATAAAAAAGAAAAAACTAACTTCAACTTGTCACCTGCCCAGCTGCTCTCTCTTTTTCTTGCATCAGACTTTCACATCTACTCCACATCTTTACATCTTTAATCAAACCCTTTCAACAGGAGGGGGAAAAAAAACTACAATTATGATCCCAGCAGACAACCCTCTCATCACCGTGTTGAGTAACCTTCAGCAGAGCATCTCACGCCCACCCAGCGCCAGTTCAATTGCAGCCTGTCAAGGTTAGCCTCAGAGGTCGGCAGCAGTTAGCTATTAAAAGTTTTACATGATTTTCAACCTCAGAACAGGGCGACCTCTAATGTTAAGCCCATGAGTGAGAGATGCTGGGAGAAAAATGAAGAGCTGGAGGCACAGATGTTACACTGATGAGCATGAATACCATAAATTAAATTTAATCCTGAATGCCCAATGCCAATCAATCCTAATTCTGCTTGAAATCATAATCACTGTTTTTTTGTAAACCAAATGTTTTGTTTACCAGCTTCTTCAAAATGCCTTCTACTTAGAGTCATTTTACGTTCACTCAAAATTTTAAGGGCATATACTGATGCAGTTTAAACGGTCTTTATTTGTGGTATTGACAGTCATGTTATGCAGTGCCATTATACCTCATCACCTTTGTTTTACCTGTTTATGTTTTAATTTTTGACTTTGTGACTCCACTGCGGTCTTAAAGATCCTTGACGTCATGTCTTTTGTCTCTGTTGAACCCTCACATGCAGAAAACTCCAAATTGGAGCTCAGGAGTTTATGCTTCCCGGTTCACATGGAATGAGGCTAAAAAGGCTGTCACGCCAGCTGCCATACTTTATTGCCAAACAAAATGTGTTTGTATTTGTGCACATATAAATCATTAAATAAATAAAACCGTTTATATTTATATATTTTCTGTATTAATGGCATTTGTAATTGCTAATGGTAATGTAGTCATGGTACCATTTGGGTACTTGGTAAGATTTGTCTTATGGTACAAAGCTATCTTAGTATCGTAGTTTCAATAATTATTCGCATATTGTGGTGTAAAGCACTTTTATTAAGGCTTATGAACCCTGGCTATAACGAATAAAAGTCAAAACTAATAGGGTGTGTGTTCTCACAATGTTCTACAGAGAATAAAGTTTTTATTTTAAAGCACTTCTAAAGATGGGCAAATTTCAGTTTCAGTAAATTTCATTAAATCATATCTGTTTATGTATCGTTTTCTATACACCCACTTGTGCTCTTCAGCCTCGGGCAGAAGAGTTTGCATTGACAGTATTAAATGTAAATAAAGACAAATCAAAATCAGTTGGTGTTAAGAGTCATTCAAGCATCTTCTGGGAGCTTGTTTTCCATAAAAACTCTTCAAGTGCTACCATCTTCCACCAGATGTCAGTACAATCCCATTGCTTTGCACTACCTTTAACTCTGATATGATGATGGCCTGTTGGCAAGTGTGCAGTTTTATTACAGCTATTTGGCACGATATTATTACCGAGGCAAATCTTAATTATAGCTTCTAAGTGAAATAAAAATCCCCCAGCTTTAACCAGGATAATATTACAGTTATAATCCTGTTACAACCACTATAAAACAATACAATTTCTGAATGACAAAAATTCAGCAAGGACATCCAAGAATCTTAAATTCTCATTTCCCTTCATATAATTCATATATGCATGAGAATCCTTTCTGTCTGGCTGATGTAATTCTGTCAAATTCTATATTCCACTTTGCTAAAAAAAAAAAAAAAAAAAAAAAAAGTGCCATGGATGCAAAATAAACGTGACAGGTTCACTAATTTGTTTGCAGATTTAACAAACTAATCACACATCAGCCAAGGGGGCCGTTTTTTTCTCCTCATCTGAAGTTTTAATTAGATTTGAAGGTTAATTTTTACTGCTCCTGTGCAAGTGTGGCCTACGTGCTTTCACAAACAGACTAACAGTAGCAATGTGGGAAAAGGTAAAGGGAAAAATAAAACCACTAAAACTGATAAAACATTTCATTTCTAATTGGATGTTTTATTGTTAATTTCAGGGAAAATATAAACAAACACTATTAATTTACAAAGGCCATCCATATTTCCCCCAGCTGGAGAAAGGCCTATGCCTCTCTTAGGGTTGCAGCTTGACACTTTAACAGCATTTTCATTCATTCCATACCCGCAGTGCTTTATTTGCAGGTATAAAACCCTACAAGGATGTGAAAAATCTATTTTTTTTTTACACAGGTCTCTCTGTGTATTTTTTCAAATTCTTTTTATGTATTTTAAAGTGTTTAATAGTGAATAGTTAATCTTTTTGCAGTTAAGGAGATGTAATTCACTCAGATTTTTGGGCTAATGTGAGGGTTCACTCCTTGCATAGAGTACAAAACTGTACTCTATGCAACAACTTTCTTTCCTGTCATTTGCTGTGGTCTTTTGCCCTCAGTGAACAGGTGTAAATGGAGCTAAATCTGCTTATGATGCTTGTCAGCAAATAACTAAACATTAGCAACAGCGTTAACAGGAGGGCAAACTTACATAAACGAAGCAGCTCATGAGCCCAAAATCGAATTCACTCATGGTACTCGGACATCCTCGTTACTAGTAACGAGGATGTCAGCAGGTATGTTACTACGATTTAAACCTGCAAAAACAAAACCACCATAATTCACAGGTTATTGCTGTAAAATGACAGATTTTGCCTTGAGCACAGTTTGGGTGAAGACCTATTAGGTTATCACTGTTTGCAAGTTTCACTACAGCAGAGGAGTGATTCCAGTGAATTGTGGATGGATGGATGATGGATGGCATCACCATGGCATGACCTTATCGGCCCTTTGGCAGAAAGAACTACAAATGGAACTGTATGTATTATCTCTGTTCTCTTAAGCCCTCTATCCCTTTCTTTAATTGTACTTTTAAACATGGGAGAGGTGTGCATTAATTTTCAAATTTGTAGCTTTTAACTTGACTAACATTGGTAAATCTGAGATGTTGCAGCCTGTGGACTTTAGATTGCAATATCTCAACTTGCATCACACTTTCCACCTCATACATTGAGATACCGTGAGATACCCAGTATTGATTAACTTCGCTGCAAATGTCATAGGGTATATCAATTTTTCCAACTTTGTACCAAATTCAGGTATCCCTGGACCTAAACACCTGTATCTGTAAGGCAGTGGGTATTTGGGATGACTGGAAGAAGGCAGATCAAAGTGAAAACCTGGCTGTACCAAAATGGCTGTATTCACCCATTCCTATAATCTGAAAGTGCTCCTAATGTTCAATGATAGGATAATTTTCTTCGGGATTTTCAGAAAGTAGCAAAGAGTAATACATTTTTTTTAAGTAGTAATGAACATACCTATTACGGTACGAACTTAAGTTATGGTAAAATGAAAACATACTGCAACAGACTTGACTTATATAAATTTTTTTTCCAGTGATGGCTTGAGCAAATAAATAGAACTATTAAATGTTTTCTGTAGGTGTGGTGAAGATGCAGTTAAAGATAAGAAAACATTCCTCCACAAGCCTGAGAATTGTGTTACACCTTTGAACCTATAGCCAAACTTAACAAGCCATTGATATTATCAACCTGTATCACTTGTTATACAACTAAAAGGCTTTCTCATAACAAATGTGCTATTTAAAAAACACTCTCAGATATTTATGAAAATTTGAAGAGCTTTGAAGAACCCTATTATATTAACTCTCAGACATGGTGGTGGAGGGTTGATTTGTTTTGCGGTCACAGGACTTAGGCAACTTGCTGTCACCGAGTTGACCATGAACTCTGTATATCACTCCGCTGTATATTCTAGAGCAGAGGTGGGGAACTCCAGGCCTCAAGGGCTGGTGTCCTGCAGGTTTTAGATATCACTGTGGGTCAACACACCTGAATCAAATGATTAGTTCATTACCAGGCCTCTGCAAAACTTCAAGACATGTTGAG